AGATAACAATAGTCTAGAGTGTGTATAGGGATTGGACAGGTAAGGGGGTACCCCTCCGTCCCATATCTCACCTGGTATACACTTTGCTGGTGCAAAACCTACTGTGGAATGGTCGCGTCGCTACTGACAAAATAAACACCAACATGGTTCTCTTCAACCGACGAGGGGGTACTTCTGCTCAAGGCGGATACTGTACAAACTCATCTCATAGTTCGCCGTTCATTTTGCGCAGCTTTCACTTGTCTTACCAACTAATGAAATGTATTACAAATTTGACCAGCACACGAACTTTAAAAAAAAAAACACACGTAGGGAGGTTTTTGTCTTAGATAAATAGTATTGACGGGAATTTAATGTTGTAGCACCTACGCACGACAAGGGGTTTTTCTTTTGCTGTGTCCTCCGTTGAAAAAAAGATTTCAGCGTAATCAGTAAGATTAGGACGACATGGCGTACACACAGTTTACTATGACTGATAGCTTTTTTTCTGCATACGTGCACCAAACAAGCAGTTCTTCAAAGTTAATTAAGAAACAATACGAGTATCATAAATTGGAGTAACTTATTCAGATTATATCAATACAATTAATGGAATTCGACCAAGGGACAAATTTCCTTCGGAGGGGAACAGAATTCCATTGGTTGGTGACGAGTTCCCCGAAGAAAATCGGTCGCCCTGATCTGGTGAGCAGGGGATGGACTGTGTGGTTCATTCATTAACTGCTTGAGCCAAACGATACCCGAGTAATTTCAATTGTTTTTTTAAAAGCAAGATAAAAGTTTGTCTCATCAAACCTATACCGTCAGACAATCATCCGTCGTTGGTACACGTCACTTCCTAAGGTTTGCATGAAAATGATTCAGGCTCCAAGCAAAGCATTTGCCCGAGCACTTGGTTCTCAAAACTCGGTTGGTTGTGGTTGACGTTGTTCTAAAGCACGTTCGCTTTATCCACAAAGCCTCCGAGACTGGATGAAACTATATTACTGAACAAAAGGTTAAAATTAGATACAGCTACAGTCACTTTAAGGTTACAGCAGAAGCTAAGATCGGCAAATATATGAGTATTTCTGGTGCCAAAAACAAACCAAATAATCGACAAAATTAATGTCGTGAACATTTACAAACGTCGTCTTGCAAAGCCAGAAGTTCTCTCGGCAGTATACTACATATTTCAATGGCACTCGTCCATGTGCCTTTATTGCCCATTCAGAATTATTTTTTGTCGTGATTTTCTGTGTGGAATCAGTACAACCCAACCCTGGAGTATACACAGACCACCAAAAAGAGCTGATTTCTTTTCTTTTTTCATTTTTATATATATACACAGCAAACTCAATCCGAGTTTTCCCTAATGTCGCATTAAAAATGCTTTCCGAGGCCTTGTACGAACTTTCGAAACCCTGGTTAATAAAAATGCACAGCGCCCCCTTTTGTTCTCACCCAAGTAGTCGCGACACCTTGGAGCCCCCAAAATGACCAGATGGCCTGGTTACCAGTCTAGTGGCAGCTGCGGTCTGCCTGTCAAGTCTTATCTGTTTCGGCATACTGGGTAAAGGTGTCAACGTGTTTATCTTTGGTTTGCATCAATTACATGGTATATCGAAGGTGTTAGCTCTAACACCCGAGGTGTAAACAATCGCCTTAACTCGAGCTACTGATGAGTGGAGTGGCCCACCAACTCAGGGTTTGTTCACTACAGCACGCAGGTGTGAGGCGACAGGAGGTCCCTTTGCCAGCGCAAGACTATGCTGCAAACGAGACCAGGATATCCACCTGCTGTCACGACCCGCTTTGGCCTGTCGTGGGACAAATTGGGTTAACATGCTATCGCCGGCAGCATGCCGTCTCTGAGTTTATTCTTTGCTATTAGAATTTGGGGTCAAGTTACCTTTATCCTGAAGACTGTTCATGGTGCATTCTTTCCTCGTGGAGAAAATCGTCGCCCCTTAATCATGAAGGTGAGGTTGGGGCTTTGGAGTTTTGGTGGAGTTGGGTTGAAAATCTTGGGGGAGGGGGGTGTTCACTTGTGAGAAGGGTAAATGACTTTTACAAAATTGTTTGAAACGAATACGTCATAGCTTCAGTCTGGATACCAGACCCGATGATTCTGACAACTCTAAACGCATCAAGGGTTGGGTATCACCCAATGTCCACGTGACCAAGACTGGAGGAATTCCTCCAGTTTTCAGGAAATAACTGAAATATTCCGAAGTCGTCCCGTCTATATTCGGCATGTTCGGATGGTACCGTTGATGTTCGGTTATTCCCAGCTGGGTAGGTAGGCTAGCTGTTGAATGTAAACATATCCCAATGGCAACTGTTGATCCCCACTGAAAACGAAGGTCGCCTTGGCCGAAATGCAAAATATAACCTCCTTCGACCAATGAAGGCTTTGTGCTTAAAACATGCTCTCAGTGGGGATACACTTGCAGTATTGCCCACTGGATATTTTGTTATCAAGAGTCGTCAGGGAATCTTTGGGCAGGGAACCAGACTATTACAGCTTCAGACAAAAAGCCTTGTGGGCTCCTTGCTCTTTTAATGTATCACATACATACTCAGTGCATACGCGCCACGCGCACGCTGTCCAAGTGTTAACCCATGTTATTAACGAATTCTATCCGATGAGTGCTGGACAAAAACCAGATCATGCATTTTCTGTTCCCGACGCCCTGTACGGGCGATGGGTGACGACGAGCGAAGAGATGTTAAAGTTTAGCCAGAAAGTGGTCGTGCACCAGGCGTAATAATGTCTCCATCCCCATTCTACCCCATCCCCAATTACTTCATCTTGATAGTTTTGTATTCAGGCATTGTCTCTTTCGGCCGTAAAGGAGCGAAACATCACCTGACGCCCTGCCACTATCTCTTTTAGTCACTAAACCAAGACGCACCACCTTCACCTGTTGAAAGACAAATGACATTGTTTTAGTGCAGCTCTGACAGGAGAAAATGGAACTTCCATATTATACAAATTATTTTGGTAGACTAAAACTGCTTTGAGAATGCTGGATTCTTTTCTCCTTTTTCTTAATTTGTTGATAATTGTTTTAAATTAAGACTGCAGATATACAACGATAACACGATTCCAGTTGTTGTGTATTTGTATAATGAGTTTCTAAGCAAACCAAGCAAACAAAAAATCATTGGAGGTGTTCCAATTTCGCCATTTTACCGCATTTTTAATGTTCAATTGCGACATGTATAATACGCCTTATTATGATTCCTGTACCTTTGCCTCAAATCAGTTTAACACTCAAAGAAAAAAATAAACATGCGTTGGGAATTTCAAGGTTAAGGCAAATTCCTTACGGCAATTTGTTTATCGTCGGTGTAATCCACATTTTCTGTCGGTGTATAGGTGAGGGTGGCACATAAAAGTGGATGGGGATCAGAGCGTGGGAGGCCACTCTTAGTCTGGGTAACTACGCAGTATTTTTCAGCCATTAGGCCTACACTGGCATTCGGCGTAGGCTTAGTATACTGGGGAGTGGGAATGCATGTCAGATACTTTCTTAAATTTGAGGTCCACATCCATTTCATGTGACTTGCTTCTCTGATTTCTCCGTTTCTGATGAGAAAAACATGTCTGTCTATTGCGTATTCTACCCAGGGGACTCCGTTTTATTATGACTATGAGGCCTGCCGCCTACCGAAAAACCAGACGAAAATCTCGAGAAAGAGACCTAGTGTGAGGATGATGTATTATGTTTTCAATTCCATCATTGCATCAGTTGCTCTGTCGTTGTTGTTTTGTTTTAATGGCGCTTTCAGCAACTCAGGCTATTGGCGCCAATAACAGTACGTTTATTCATACACTTTATTAATCAGCATCACATTACGGAGTTAGGAAGAAGGTCCAGTTTTAGAGGCAGGAGGAAACTGGAGTTGCCCGGAGAAAACCTGCAAGAACGATAATGGACTAGAAACCAAATGCACTTAAAGCCTGGGCCAAGCCGGGACTCGAACCCAGGCCTCATTGGTGCCAAGCGAGGAAAGAACCGCTACGCTAACACGCTAACCCGCTCCCCCTTGTTGCTCTCTCAAATAGTTTGTCATGATTTCAATAATTCATGTTCAGACAACGGTTTACTAATTACGGCACTCGTCTCACGTCTCACTGAAGATTGGCCCCCTTATTAGCCAGGCACGCTACTGGCCAACTGGATGCGTCATGCACTCAGGCTTACTCATATCTCGGGTTAAACGGGTTAACTTTAAGCTGGCTGGATTTGGGGCGCGCGTTGGTAACAATTAAGTCATCAATGGCTATTGTGGGCCATTAATGGCCGTAATAGCTTGTTTGAAATGTTTGTTGTCAGACAAAGACAGTTGGCTGAGGATCCGCTCTGGACGTAATGGATTATGAAAGCCAGTGGCTCCCTCTTCGTAGCTTTGAATTAAGCCCAAGGGTGTTTGCTCAAACTATATGAATGAATGTTTTCCAGTGTTGTCTCCGCGGCCGAAGAAAAGTCGACAGAAATCCATCCTTAGAAATCCGAAATCCGGGACAAAAAAATAAACCATTCGGTCAACCGAGCCATCGTATTCAGCTACTGGCTGAAGCGAAACCATTCACAAAAGGGAGGCAGCCCAAATCGGTGTGAATAGAATCATCATCGGGCCAAGAGTCCAACCATTATAGCTATTAAACAAACACTTATCTGCGGTGACAAACCTTAAAAAAAAAACAGCAAATTGGCCCGACTCGGGTGCAGATTCGCCCAGCGTTATCGTAATTGACTGCCGAACAAATTTACATGAGAATGCGCAGGTGTCGAAGAACTGGTTGTTGCTTCGCACTCTTAACCGAGGCAGCCAGAAAGTCAACAGCCGATACACATGACGATCGTGTACGGGGGCGATCACATCGGCGAGTAGCGCTCACGCCGAACACATCGTTGACACACTCTAAATGGGCGGCCATCCTAGAGTACGCGCTTCATACTTGGAAAGCACAGCGCAAGTAAACCGACCAATCACATGCCGTGCTACTCATTTCACTTGGCACACATTGAACCTGCTCCACACACTTTGACCATGATTTGACAGATGCACGGCAGTCCGTCTACTGGCCGCACTCCATGTGAAACGCCGGCATCATCCTGTCGCAAGGACTCCAAGAACACAGTGAGCACCAAGCTGTGACTACGTGGTCGTCATTGCAACTGAAGCCAGATTGCCTCCGTTCAGTTTCACCGTAAAGCACTCCAGCCGAACCAATTTGTGATTTATTTTGTCGCAGACTAAACTATGGGCGCGATTAACAATTACCGTGTCTCGCCGGTACAGTAACTCCACGCTGGCGCTGGATACTTGATCGGTAATTCTCGGTTACATTAATGCTTGTTCTCAGCAAATTCCATTGTCGATTTCCGACCGAACTTGGTCCTGGCTTTGATCAAATCGGTTGGACTTTCAGGAGCTGTTTTTACAACCCAGGAGGGGGACCTGTGTGTCATTTCAATTACTTGAGACGATATATCATTGCTCAACCTGTTGCGAGAACTTGCTTTTGGTTGAAGGCCGGCATACCAGCAAGCACGACGCAAGCATGACTGCAGCCAGACCGATCCTCGCTCTCCTTGCTCAGGTTCTACTTATTACCTGCGTTCAGCCATCGCTCGCCAGTAGGGTAAGTCCACAACGAGCCCATATTCTTCTCACTTGCAGTTGTGCGTGCGCCAAGGCTAATGTGATTCAACATGATTCAACAGACGTGAGTGAATTCGTAGCATGGAATTATCCTGATTTTATAATGGAACACGAGCTGTTTGGCAAAGCCCCTCGTTGTTCCTCAGTTTACCGCCAAACTGTGGCCTAGTAATAGTACTATGGGGTGTGTATTTGAAAAGAAAAACAGGGACTGTGTCAAATGAACATCCCCCTCTACCCGAACAGTGGTGGGCGACACAGTATTGCCCTTATTGTGATAATTATTTTAGAACTTCCTTTAAAAATAAACTGAACAATGAAGTATAATTTCTACTGTTCTTATTCCTGACGTAAATGTCATCTAGGGAGATTTGACCCGTAGAATGCTGAAAATACTAATCACAAGGGGGAAATAGGCTCAAAATAAGCACATACAAGAAACAAAACCTGCTTTAGATGAAAGCTTGTGGTGCCACTGATCAGAATTGCTGTTTTGTTCCGACAAAGCCATTTTGCTTGTGTGTGGATAGCAGACTTACTTTAATAAGGCATAAACCTTTTTGACTCCCCTGAAAAAGCAAGCACAACAGATTTCGCAGGTCATTTCATGCAACTCAGTAATGCCTCAGCACGTTCAAAGTATTCCTGTGGAATTTTTCTCACTTCGGGTTTTGGCGTCAGTTATTCAGGCATGAGACTTAATGCAACCAACCCAACGAGTCACAGAGGCTTAGTGGTGTACACCCAATTTTGGGCAATAACCTGCAGTCTTGACGGTTCATTCTGTCGGACGTCCAAGCCTCCCTTGTCCGGCATGTGTAAGCCACGATGTATTGTCTGCAAGGCTTATTGTTTGGAGAACTGCCTCAAGGGTAAAAAAACTTGTTTCTACATGTAGCTCTGTCCGCCTCCGTGGACCCTCTGCAGTTGAATGCAAAGCGCAGGTCTATATAGGGCCTACATAGTACAAGCTTTAGAAATAGGGTACAAGTACAGGCCTTGCGGCCTTTGAGAGATGTTCATCTTGCTCCGACCTCCATCCTCTGTATGGAACTTGCCAAGCCGCGCTGCTGATGTTGGTCATGCAGACCCCTCAATGTTTCGTCAGCTTTACCTTTCTGCTGACGTATTTGTCAGGTTGAAATCGCCCAAGCTTTCTACTTGTTTTCACACTAGCAATCAAGTCCTATCCTTGGTCGATGTTTTCATCCTTCGTTGAGTATTATTGTGGAACCCGTACAAGTTACCTCCCGAGCAGGACGTTGTGAAATCCCACACATGCTTACGGCATGGATCATCGGTACGCCTGGGGCCACCATTGTTGCAGCCGGAACTAATGATTCGTGCCACATGGATCCATGACGGTCGGCAACATAGCGCATTTTATATGGCTAATCGACCACCAACAGCTAGGCCCCCGATGAGGGGTCGCATGGAGGCCGATCTATACATGATTTCATTCTGGTGCGGCGATGCAACCACGGATCATTTGATGCAACATACCTGCATACCCGCGGGCTTGTTCGCTCTCTCTTACTTCGGTTATTCACTGCTGATTCGTACACATGTATTCCGTGAAAAAGTTCCGTCAGTTGTAGACTAGAGCGGAGCCAAATTACGAGCGAACAAAAACATGTGCTATTTTAACAACTTCGCCGGTCTATTGCTTCCCCACTAACTGTCGTCATGCTGAAATAAGTCCATTTCGTTATTTTGAATGCAAGCTTGTAAGGCAACCTTTATCTTGGATTAACTTTTTCAGAGGATTTTTTTGGGGGGGGGGGCTGGCGATGATACCTGTGGAAACGCAATTGACGAGGTGTGTGCTAAAGTTTACTTGAATGAGCATGCTTAATTTTAAGAGATGATTGAAGACAACGCGAAACACCGAGTGATTAATTTGTCAGCTGTGCAACTCAACTATCGACACCAGATATTGAATAATGTCAACATTTATTGACCGTTAACTTTGCAGTACCCTCCCTTGGTAGCATTTTACTGTATGCAAAAGCAGAGGCCATAACTTATTGACTTCAGGTGTGTTCCTGCTGTCTCCCCCCCAAAAAAAAGAAAATTTGAAATGAGATACAATGTACACAGATTCAGATATTTTAATGTTTCTTATGAAAGAGGGACGTTACTGGAGTTGTTGACTCGCTTGGATGCCAGTTGGCCACACCTGCCTCTTCCATGAAACCCCACTACAATATTCAACGGTTATGGCGATAACGTGACAAATCGTGGGCCATATAACAAATAACAGGTCAGCTCTGCGTCTTATCCATTGTCCCCTTGTTCCAAGTTGGTGAGACAATGGGGCGGTAAAATGTTCTCCAAGCAGGGCAGCGTACACGTTTCATTCAATACCTGTTGTTTTTACGGGACCATCACTGTGTGAGGTCCTCGCGTTCTTTAAACCACACTGCGCTTATAATCGTTGCTGTCACGTTGTCGGCTTGTAAGACTTGTGATTATTCACGCAGTAGCTGTCAGGTGTACTGCACGTCACAAATACCGCTCTTGGCCATAACTGAGGCACCATCTGTGGTGACTGTGCAGTTCAAAGATGTGCGTCGGATCGGATTTGAAAATTAAGGCCAATCCGATCGACAACTCTAGCAGAAAATCTGATCCGAATCCCACAGTTTTGGCTCAATCTGATCCGCTCCGATGGCCTTCGTGGCTCAATCCGATCACAAAGCTACAACCCATGGGTTGTAGCTCTATGATCCGATCCACCCAAAAGTGTTGAATCCCATCCGAATCCCAGAAAATCCGAGTTAAGATAAACAAGAACTTGTAGCCCATTTTACGAATCACCAACTTCATTGTAAAACTAACAAATTGGCCATGTTAAATTGTACTGTTAAAGTCCTTAATCTAAATTGTTCAGGTCATAAATTGAGCAGCCATCTTTTTTTGTGTGTGTTATTTCCGGTTTTTTTTTTTAGTATTATTATTATTTCCGGGTTTCTTGGACGAGCAAAAACACAAACGAAACGTTTCATGTAACTTTATTTAAAAGCTTGGCGATATTCACCTTGAAATGGTGGTAAGAACACCCGTAATAAAACACAAAATAGTGACACAACAGCCCCGGGCTGTACTTAGTTTTAGAGCACTGATAACCATAAATACTAAATTAAGGCAACGTCTTGCCGTAGTCATACCAACAGGGGTTATACTATGCAAAATAAATGCATAAAAGTATATAAGAGATAACGGTTGAGGAAATTAGTTCCCGGTGAAGTGGAAAATAATCGCTGCCACAAGTTGATGAAAGAATCTTACTGGTGATGATAGACAAGTTTATGCATTTGAAACAAGTCAGAAACAAAGTAGGATTTTATCAGATTATCTGAATCAGACTGAAGCAGTTTAATTCGCTCAGATCCGAGGTGGGATTTAGATCGGATTCAAATCGAAAGTGCTTCATAAGTTCAACCAGGAACTCCTTGTTATGCTTCACTGTTCAATCCTGATAATGCCTACAAATGCCACAATCCATACACTTCATCAAGTTATCATGGTTTATGATCCCAATTAGATTAATATAGCCTGTGGCGTTTACACCAATGGACCAGATACGCCCCCATACCAAAAAAATCGGCCAGTACTAAATGTTAAATCAATGTGAAACCATGTTTTGCACTTTTCCGTGAACATATGATATTTGAAAGGTACCTTTCATGGTATTTTCTACCAAAGGTGTGAACCGTCGTAGGCTACGCCATCTTGAATAAGTTACAGATTTGTTTGATTTTTATTTCAACACTGCATGTTATCTTAATTCAAATCAGTACGTACTCGCAGCCGGAGCTAAATCTTTCAGGTCTTACCCTACTGATTGACAGGATAACTCAGCCATGTTGTTCATTGGCCGCTTAATTGACGAAAAAAATGCTTGATACATCAATTTTTTTCATGCCTTTCAATCAGTGCTGCAGCAGTGTACATGTACAGTGTTCATGTTTCTCTGCAAGAAGACAGTGTCAAATTCCGGTCTCAGAGTGTCCTTTCAACATCTGGGAACCTCACTCAACACGCCTAGTCGCTCAGCGCATTGTAACAATGAAGCGGATTAGAAGGCCGCCCAGGGCGCGAAGTCGCTGTGATAGTAAAATGTGTGCGCTCCACTTTTTGTGACAATCCAAGGCTGGTTCATATAAATGAGTCTCATTTGCGAGATTGCTTTTTGAGACACACAGGCCGCGAGGCTCTTGGCGACGTCCGGCCAGACTCCTTGTTTGTCTTTCCCGAAAGTGAGGTTGTTTGGAGGTACTTGTGAAGCGTTATCTGGTTGCTAACTTGCTGTACATTCCCACCTTCCTCCTTTCACAACTGCGGTAGACTCCCAGTCTCTCAAAGACTTAGTAGACTGGCATGCAACTCCATCATTAGCCACATAAGATGGCTTTCCAACCCTTGTATTTAATATTTCTTTCAGGGTTCCTCCGAAAAGGTTCTTTTCCTTTTCACAAATGTCCAATGCTGGGTTCCTATATCATTTAGGGCAAGTCGACATGATTGGAGACGGGGAACTGAAATATTGTTTGGTTCCTATAACAAAATGGCGGAATGGGGAAGTTCTTTGTTACTGCATGGAGGAAGGACACAAACATGGCCACTGGACAGTCTCTGACTGTGATCTAGGACCAACCTCAGTCGGTAATGCTACATGTAGCCCTTTCCAGCTCTTTGCCAGAAAAAGTCTTTGAGCATGTACGAAGATCATTATAACGGGCTCGAAGAAATATTTTTTCGTGAAACCCGGTGGTTTGTTATTTATCTACCAGTAAACTACTGCGGCCCTCTTTTTGAGTTATCAAATGCATTTCCTTCCTGGATTGGTTTCGTGGATGCTTGAATGATACATGGATAAGTACTTTTCAACGATATACCGATATTTTGAAATGCACACATATAGAGGCAAAAATCACCACCGGTCCTTTTTTGGCACATAAGACATTGGCTGCCTCTTCGAATGGGGTGCAGTTTATTGACATTGCCTGTTTGTTTTTTTCTTGAGTAGGTATCCCATTTTCAAACATTTTCTTAAGCCTTTTAAGTGGTGGGTAATTTAATCAGTACGATTAAGTCACACTTATCACACCTTTTGTAGGTGTCAAGATAAAATTCGTTTATGGACTGTAATCTGTTAAATCAACTTTGCGTTCGTTCAATTTCAAGGTTTGTTGCCGGCTTAGGGCCGTAGGCGTTTACCGTGGCAGGCTCACCGTCTCTGACAAAAGACACCTTGTTAACAATGCCATCCACTGGACCAGAGACTGTGACACAGAGAGTTCCTTAGGGGTGTAACTTGCATGCATTTCCACCCGAACTGAAAATTATCGCTGCTCGCCTGGGAATAATGCAATATCTTTCTCTGTCTGGCAGGTGACCTACTTCAATTGCCAATCATAACACCCGGCGGGCTGTCTTGTCCTGTGTGGCATTAGATTTCCAAATTGTCCTGATTTTACAGGATACGTTTTACCATGGTTTTTGTCCCTTTAAATATATAAACTGCGACCCAAACCTCATAAAAGTTTAATTTCATTTTACTGATCAGAATACAAATGGATAAATATCATTTTTGATCTTTGTTTTGATCGAAATAGATGGAAATTATATTCTCTAGTGAAGCAGCCCTCAACCCTGACAGTGGACCAGTGTAAGCACCATGTTCGCCCGTTCGTGTTCTAAATGGTGCAAACCCATGGACAAATTGACACTACCTTCAGCATGGAAAACGCCTTTTGCTCGATTTCGACACCCGTACTCCTCTAAAACATTGTCATTGTGATCGTGTTTATTGTGTTTGCGTATGACAATGATCGTGCGTTTTAAAAGTTGTACTCCACATGTACATGTATATTGACATTTGAATCCACACCCATATCTGTAAGCAAAAAATATCGCGTTAGCTGTTTCTTGCACAGTGCTGTGCAGGATCAGAATTTTTCAAAATTGACGGACTCAAGGACAGTTTCCAATGTATATTTTTGACAAACTAAATTGCTATTTACTTCAAGCGGCTTTCGCATTACGCATGGTCTTAATGACTAGAGTCCGCCTCTTCAAAGATGCATCAAAGAGACCGCCGTAATATGGCCAAGCTGGAAAAATACACTGAACAGATTATCGTTTAGCAGACTTGCTTACCGCTTGTTGTTTGTCAGGGTTGTGACATTTCATTAATGTTATTCCAATTCTCCGAACCGATGTGTGTGTTGGATTATCATTCAAAATGGTTGCAGTGTAATGTGGGGGGGGGAAGCTTACCATGTCCCAACCCATCCGTCTGTGATTACACTTGATCTGAATAGCTTGGCGTGCACTGAGACGCCAGTGTAGGACTCAAATAATGGCCTAATGATTTTCCCCGCGATTTATGCGTGGCTTGTGCCTGGGAGCCGAAGATGCTGTCAAAATTCCATATAGCAAGTTCATCGCTGGAATAAACCCACTGAGCATGCCTGCATGCGCATCATGACAGACTTTGCTTTGAATATTAGGTCAGTACACCCACCAGTCTGATATTACTTCTAACAACCGAAGCTTTTAATGGGACGTCAAGGAGCCAACCGGGTGAAGCGTACCGAGAATGCCCTATCCAATAACATGCGAACACTTTTTCTAACATGAAATTCGGCAAATGTAGCCTCAACGAACCCCTTCGTGTCTTGGTCTCTCGATCAATTCAAAGTATGGTAATGAAGTTACGTTCAGTTTTCGATGATTCCAAATGCAGAACCTGCACGTGTGTCTTCACTTGTGCGGCACCTAAAGCGGCTACCTGCTGTTTGACTTCACTTGTGTTGCCGTTTGTCACAAATCTTGCAAATCTTTCCGTGTGCGAATAGCAAATTGAATTATCCACGCCTTAAATGATAAGATCAAATGTTCTCTTTTGGTCCAATAAACTGAGCAGATGAACTTGAACAGACCGAGTCTATAGTCAGACGAATTGTTCTTCTTGATGTTTTATGGTTATTTATCTCTTTCGTTGACAGTTCCCGTTGGCGCATGAGCTGACGAGCCGGGAGAGGGACTGCGAAATCGACTGTTCGACCGCGAAGGCGCGGCCAGTCTGCGGTATGGATGGACAGACGTACAACTCACGCTGCGAAATCAGAGTGGCTCGGTGCCTCGGGAACTCGGTCCAAATTAAACATAAAGGACAGTGTGAGGGTGGGTACACTCTGGAAGATGTTTTATGCCCCTGCGTCAAACCTTTATCTAAAGTAATTCGTTTTTGTTGGATCGAGTAAGGATAGCATATTTCAAATCTATTCCTCTTGGTGTTTCCAATCAAAATGAGATTTCGCCCAAAGTATGAAGTTTACAAGGTGGTTTTGTTCACACTTGTACATGAACAATGCATAACTATTTTCACAAAGATGAATATGAAATTCCAACAAAATCGATTAACATTGTCTTCTGATGGATGAAACGCAAGGCAAAGAAAACGAATTGTGACGAATTCCTATTAACGAATTTCAAAACTTTCACTATATGCTTCAAAGTTTCAACACACACTCGTAGCATATTACATACATGCATTATTTCGTGTCGGCTTTCTTTCACGATACGTTTAAGTTCCGAAACACAAATGTTTGCTGAGAGATTTCTGCAAAAGTTTTAAGTTTTTAAGAGAGTCAAATAAACGTCTTTTTGGAAGGTTTGACAAAATGCCAAACGGAACAAGCAGCGAGCAGGATGCGGGCTATGACGTCGACGGAAGGCGTGTTTGTGCCCCAGTGTGAGGAGGATGGGAGCTTTTCCAAGGTGCAGTGCCACCAGTCCTTCGGGTATTGCTGGTGCGTGACGGAGGACGGCAAGCCCATACCGGGCTCCTCGGTGGAACAGGCCACTAAAATGACGTCTCCTCGGCCCTCGTGTAACGGTGAAATGGCAGGACAAACAGGTATCTGTCAGCGCAATTACCTCTACCGGCGAGTTTTGGCACGCTCGTACGTATTGCTCTTCTGTGCGCTTAAAATTTGGAAATGTTTCTGAACTTTGCGTCTACTTGTTGTTTCAAGGATTTGGCTAAAATTAGGGCCTACATGGCACAAAACAAAACGGCGATTCACAGTAGTGCGCCTCCAAGAGTCTGTAACGTTTTGGCCATTCACAACGTGCGAAATCTGTCGATCCGTACTGAACGCGCTTTAACGCGTTGTGATTGGCCAACACGTTGCAAACTCTTGGAGGCACATTGTTGAACATCGGTAGCACATCTACCAAGGGGCATGGGGCAAGCGTACTCCCAGCCCTAGACAAGTTGCTAGTTTAATCTATTTATTAATTTTTTTTCTTGAAAGCGCCAGAATTTTAGAATCGCAACTGCCAACTTTCAGGGGATTCTTTGGCGGATTAAAAATTGGGAAAGTCGTTTTTTACAATTAAAAAAATCCATTTTGCCCCCCCCCACCTGACCAAAGACCTGGATTCGCCATTCTAGAATAACTCCAGTTGACCTTTTGTTTTTGCTTTCCACTAGGCTGCCGCTGTTAACGAGATTATACTTTTTATGATTTAAAATGAAATTAATACATTGAGATGGGTTTGTCGCATGATGAAGCATGTTGTGACCTGCTAAGTGTTTTTCTCACTTGCGTGTTGGCATTGTGCCCGGCAGCCCTTGTTTTTGTGGCGATACAAGTCGAAGATCATCTCAGGAAATTATGTCCTTCGTTTAGCCGAACCCCTTGGAGAGAAAAAAAAGCAAAGACGGGCATTTTAGCATTAGAGTGGGCAATCAATCAAAGAGAAGACCCAGGCAAACGAGACAGGGACTGACATGTCACCGGCATAATGTCCCAAGGTGAGGTTTGATCCCGGAATTGCCGTGAGGAAATATGAGTGTAGGCTGGGGGACGTTACAGAAGGGTCGGATGCAGTTAACGTAGCTGGGATTTTACTGATGGGGTCACAAGGGTGCACCAGCTTTCAGTGGTGTGGTTTTTGGGGGGTTTTGGGGGGGGGGGAGGGGGAGCTTTTGTTAGCCTTGTTCAATATCCATCCTTTTTTTAGTGGGGAGGGAAGGCATCTGGGGGCACCGGGAATTTGTAGGGGGAGCACGTGCCCCCAGCCCCCCCCCCCGGCTACGCAAATTTGTTTTGCTGCTGCATTGTGATCCATGCTTTGNTTTTCGTACGTCATACATCATACTCTGAGAGATCTCGCTGCCTAAAACAGTCATGTTTTCTCCTTCACTGCAGCAACGTTTCCTCCAACGAAACGACCGCATCCAGACACGAAAGGCGAGTTTCTTAATCAAAGCTTGTGTCCAGTACAAGTGTAATTTTTTTTATACTTTAAGACATTATAATGATCAGAAGTGCTTGCCCGTTTACCTCTTGTATGTTTTGTATTTCTTAATTCTGTATCGGGTTGGATGTCTGTAAATGTTAAGATGGTGTCGCATTGTCCGTTTGTGCTGGTGAGGGCCTTTACACCAGTATTCAAGTGAAAATACCAACATTTATTGCAATTTGGCTCGACAAGTCTCGAATAATCGGGAAGAATTACATGTAATTTCTTTGAAATTCCGGAAACCTCAAATAAATTATTTTGGTTATGAAATTCACCTAGAATTAAATAAAATTCATTTACCTTCCTGTAAAATTCAGTATTTATTGGATTCCGTCCAAATAACAATCAACTGAAGCTGTACGGTCGCAGAATTTTGAAACTGTAGTTATTTAATGGTTAATTCTGACAAATCAGGCTGCAGTCAAGATGCGAGAATAGAATTCAACACGAATCTGAAGGACATTTTCAGGGAGGAGTTCCATCGTCTGCCCACGACGCAGCCGTCAGAGACCACAGGCGGCGTGCAAAGAACAGAGGACTCTCAGAAGCGCATCATCGAGTGGAAATTCACTGAGCTGGATAGCAACGGTGACATGGAGTTGGACAGGAAAGAGCTGAACTCACTGAGAAGGATGATGAAGAAAATTTTGAAGCCGAAGAAGTGTGCCAAGACATTTGTTGAACACTGCGATTTGGATCGGGACGAACGAATCGCTAAGACTGAGTGGTCATTTTGTCTGGTGGATAATAGTGAGTATACGTTGGAAGAATGGTTCTTGTACTTGACCGTCACATCATGAGGACATTTCACCTTCCACAGAAGTTGCTAGCAGAAATGTGTCTGGGACATTTTCATTAAGGTTGCATTCTCATGATTGTTTGTGATATTTTCTTAGAAATGACTTAAAACAGAGAGATTGTGGGAAGGTGAAAGTCAAATCTACACACTTCCAAACTAAACTTTCATTTTCCTACTACCTCTTAGCGCATAGAGTAGCTTAGTATATTTTGTCATGCTTTTTTCACCCAAATGAAAAAGAGCAGCGAATTTTCAGCTCATTCCCCCTTTCTGCTGAAGCTTCTGGCCACCCGTATCACCTGCCAGGCCTTTCAACACATACTCCCTGAATGGGGAAAACAACTTCACAGTAATACTGTTTGCCTGTAGGACTCAGCTTACATGCCTTGACACATGCACCCTGTTGATCTTTCACTTTGAATGTCCTAACTGCATTATGAGCTCTAACCATTGTTTCCATTATGTTTCTTTGTGGAGTTGTTGACTGTATAAACTGTGTGTATGGAGCCGTTTTGGCGAATGCTGCATAGTTCGAAGTTTTGCACTACTTCAAAAAAATCTGTTTAAAATGTTCTTTCATCATCTAATCCTTAAATACACCTAACCCATTTCATGACTGCCGTTCATCATGCTGTTTTCATAGTCTCGTATTTTGGGTAAACTTACTTTGGAAACTGCGGGTTTATGCATGCCGAGGACCGCAGGCGTATTCTGCATGGCCTACTTATTAAAAGTTGCTAAGCCCAAAAGAAAACAGCCGGAAACAACTTTCGTTTGATTCCTCGTTTCCTGCTCTTCGTAAGATCGTTTGCATTGCATCTTGCCTGTGTAATTACGAATGTGCCTTTGACGTGTCTGTCTACATGATCTTGCTTTGCATTCATTGGACCTTTACCCTGCTTTTCAAGCCTTAATGCTTTTGTTCTCAGACTTTCCTTGATCTTTGATCTTTGTCAAAATCTGTTCTTGATGCCTTTTCAATTTGCTTACTCCTTGTGTTTCCTATTCTAACTGGTCCTCACCCACTACTTCCTTTCGTCAGCTTCAGGTCCCATCCTTCTACTGAGACCTTTAGTGCGTTTTGTATAATGTTGTTTTTCTGATCCTTTTTCGGCGATCCTTCTGTCATCCTCCTCGTGCCATCCTCTTATTTAGTCCATGCATGAGCATTCGGGCTGCTTTATAGTCTCAGTCGATTTCTTTTCTTTCAATCTTTGGTATCTTCCGTGTAGACAGCCATGATTTGCCGGGCAAGTGCAAGATTGATGTTTTTACTAGGTTCCAACCACCGACTTTAGTACTCCTGTAATTTGTAGTTTCGTTCCACCTCTTCTTATCCCTCAACTCAGATGAGCAAGCAGAGGAGGAGCCGACAGCTGACACAAATTTACCAGAAGGTAGGCGAATGCAGCTGAACACCAGTAAACGACTGTTTTTAGGAGTTTTCAATTTTGTTTACTTTAGACCTGTTCATTTAGTTTCTTGCCTTGAAAAGTGGGTCGCGGTATTTATCTCGAGCTTACCCAATCGTCTATCGTTAAGAAAGGTAGAGCCCCCTAAAAGAGAAACAAGGTATTTGCGTATATGGCGCGCCATATGACAGCATCATTTTCCCAGGTTGCGGGAAAGTTTCAGGAATACTTGCAGGCCCTCGAAAAGCTTTTTCACAAGGTTTGCTTTATATGAAAGCAGGCACCAGTATTGCATGGCGCACTCCCATGCCCCGACATTTATATTGTATAAAAGGTTGATATGCAAATGTGCGAGATGTTATGGCTTTGGTCTATGCTCGCACTGGAATTGTGAAAAACGGTATACCATTGTTCCAACAGGTCTGCCTCCTCCCGTCAGAATCTTGCCTGTCACTCCTCCCCCTCCTGGAGACACAGGAAACGCGGGTAATTCTACAGGGTTTAAAGTAATTTACTCATGAAAACAGGGATTTTTAATACTTGTTTGGTGCACAGTTTTAATCTTTTTGTTTTAAAGTACATGAAGTTGTATTCTGAAAAAGCAAATACATAATCATATCCTAAATGGAACTACGATTGCTTCTTAGCGGCTTTTTAAAAGGAAGAAAATCCAACACTACCTTCCTGACTTTGACATTCCCTCTTGTGTTCATATGAATCGAACGAATGATACGAAGATGAGTTACTAATCAATTTTTGGGGAAATCTGTCTGAAATCACAGTGCTAAAACGTGTTAACTTGATTTGAATATTCTGGCATAATGGTTTAAGGCACAATGCATATTTGTTATGAATATACCAGATCTCTGCATCACTTCGTCAAGTCTTCCTTGATTCTGTGTCAGATTCTCCCACGGTGGTCTCATGTGAAGCGGAGAGAGAGCGTGCCACTAAACGGGCCGAGTTGCTGCCGAAGAGCGGTGTTTTCATTCCGCAGTGCCACGAAGATGGCGGCTACAAGGCCGTGCAGTGCCACGAGGAAGCAGGGTACTGCTGGTGTGTCTATGTGGACACCGGCAGGCCCATCCCGGGCACATCTACCTCGGCCTCAACACCAGAGTTCAATTGCGACGAGAACGCCACATCGAGAGGTCCTGCTGGAATTCGAGTCTTTGAAGGTCAGTGACACTTGGCAATGTTTCAGCCTATTTCAATTTTGTCTTGCTCTTTTGTTACCGCTACACTCCCATAAGACCCGTTGTCGCTCCGATGGCTGTGTCTAGATTTCCATTATTATCAAATAATGTTCGCATATAAATGTAGAACTTAATTGTTTTTGTTATATACTTCTGTATTCTATGTGCAGGGTCTATTGTGGTATGTTTCTTTACTTTAAGTCACTGTCATTTGGCTTTCCGTGTTTCTCTCTTCCCTTTTAAACGTACTTGCTCATTGGCCAGAACCGTGAAATATCTTTGGGTTGCACCGTCACACATTAATACTCCATTTATCGAAGTCCCTTGAGTCAGTTTTCCTTCTAAGTAAAGGTATTAGACGTGAGGTGCACAGTGTTACTTCTCTCCACGTAATTCATATAGGTATTTTTGTATTTTACTTGTTGAGAAAGCTATTCCGATGCTGTCTGAAGTGCACGGCTTTCAAACCACTTTTGAATAGATCCATCCATCAGATCTACAAGTTGCGAGTCGAAGCCTTCTAATTTTCTGATCCCGAAATTCACAGATACTCCTGTTTGCAGTGCAGGAAATAGCATTGGGGTTTTCTATTCGAAAACTTAAAATTTGTATCATGAGGCATTCTTTCCTACGTGTCATCTAATTGAAAACGATTATTTGAAAGAACTTAGTTCCATGCACAATTGGGTATCAATCCTCTTCGGCTTCTCAGACACCTGTAAAAAGGAGCAAAATGCCCTGTCATAAATTACTCACATTGTCGAGAAATTACAATGGTTTACTTTTTAAACACTTCTGAGAAGCCCTTTCATGGAGCGGTATCAGGTGCGCCAATGTTGTTCAAGTGTTAACGGATCCCTCTCGCAACCACTGTCTGTTCCCAATGATAAAAGCCCTCGTACGTCCTTGTGACCAGTAGATATTGTGTTCCTTGGTGGATATCCCTCATGGAGACAGGAACTCCAAGTCTCTACTGCAAACACTGGCGTGCAGGTGCACTGTCTCCAGGCTGTCTATCAGCAGGTGTCTCATTGCCGGCCGGTTCCCAGACAAGCTGGCCAGTGACACTTCAATTCAAGCTGGTCGCCTATGTTTGGAAAGTCTGGAGGGTTTTGATACAGAAAATTCGCACTCCCATGACACCAGCACGTCCTACCATAAATAAAAACATAAGGTCCGGTGTTTGTGATGGTGAGGGCATTTACCTTTGTCAGTAGATTGTACGTATGAGCAGATGGGGTATTTTAAAGATTTTTTTCGGCTGTGACGTCCCGTAAGTGGACACCGGTTGAATACTGGCGACCATGCTTCCAAAGTTGCTTCTCAACGTCAACAATTACGTCGCCAAAAATAACCCCAAACTGCAGAAATGAGTTGTAATACAGCGTTTTCCGTTTTTTACCCTAAAATCAAAACGTTCTGTAGTTTCCCTGGATTGATTAGTGGAAGATAGTGGGAACTATCCTCTGTTTGAGTGTGGAGGAGTTCAAGGCTCGGGTTCAAAACTCGTAATTGAGTCCAGCATTGCAAGCATATTTTTGTGTCAGCGCAGGAACTCTAGGGCTGCCCCGGTGAAATGTGCGACACGCAAACATGCCACCAAGGCCTTAACTCTGTGGTTAAGGATACACTGATTGATTAGGGGGACCGCCGTGTATACGCAGGTCTCTAGTTTCATTGAACTTATATTACACAAATACATGCATGTGACGCATATACATGTACATGGATATGTATACATGGATACGCGGTCTTTAGGCCTGCATAAATTTTCAAAAGTTGGGCTTGGCAAGACTTGTGCATCTGCATAAAGAGTGGATTTCAAATCTTTTAAGTGACGAATTAAAGTTTAAAAATCACACTTTCACGAAACGATTACATGTACATGTCGTAGTATTTTCAGTGCAGTTGATAAACGTTGATAGTCAATATGTACATGTATTTGCGACTTGTGCGAAAAAAATTAGAGTCGAAATGACATGAAAATTTAACTCCCCACAATTTACAATTACAGCTCAAATTATTAAAGTAATTATTACACCAATAATTACCAGACGCATCTCCTATACATGCTTTCGTGAAGGGTCGGGCGTTATAAAGTGTTTTGTGCAAGGACACTATGTGATTCACACTTGTTTTAACAGCAACTCGTCATAGAAGGGCATCCGAAGATTTGAGATCCTTGATGTCCCCAGGATATGACCTGGAAATTCTAAGTACCCTGTCATTTGTCCGACGTGGGCTTGTAATGATGGGGAAACAAAGTCAATGCCACGCAGGTGTTACAAACGGCCACCCCCTTCTGTGCCGAACCGCATCATCTCCTAATTGTGTTTGAATAAGCCACCTTTTCTAACTGCAAAAATACCTGTCATTTGACGAGACCCCGTTTTCTGTTATTCTTTGGCTTAAGTTGGACCTTCCAGCCACCTGTGTTTGTCTATTATATTTGTTCAAGTGTTTCAGACAGTTATCTGAGGCTTGAATCTATCTATGGCTTGTTGTAATTTATGTGTTCGTGATAGGCATTATAACCCTTCAGTGACTTGAACAGGTGCGATGTGAATCTGTTATCGTTCTGACATTTGAACTATGTCACCAGGCGAATTGTGTACGCCGTAAATTAATGGACTTTTATGTCTCATCTGATGATGAACTACATGATAAAGTGAACCGGCAAATCATGTTCTTCCGCAAGCCACTGCCTCAGTAATGGAGTCTTAAAGGGGTGTAAAAATTTGGTTGTCACGTTTTAAACGCGCGTGGAATACTTTATTCACGTCAGAGAATTTAGGAAACAGTATAATTTTTATTACTACATGTACTATGACCTAGTATCTGTTTGGTCAAACTAGACTAGAATTCCCTTTTGCTGTGGTGCACTTTCCCCGTTTGTGTGTCAGAATTTAGAGAGTTTTGAGGGGGTCTTTTAAATATTGCTGTTGTAATGGCTACATTAAAGGCCACAGAAATACCTCCCGCTATGCCACGTTTGTGGTAATTTACTCATTATTTAAACGCGTGGCCTTTTGCGGAATCATACATCCATGATCCAACAACGTGAAAGGTCGAGGACCCCTCACTAGAAGAATTTAACTAGTGAAAAATTAATTCTGTTGTAAGTTTCAAAACGAAAAAAATTGTTTTTTCGATGTGCCCCTTTCAAATTGCAATTAACTTCCAGTTTCAAGAATCTATAGGCATACGTGCATGTTGTTTAGTATTTCCAATCTGGTCACCATTGCTCCTGTTTTGCACATTTCATTGCCTAACGCTACGTCTTATTTGCGTACCCTTTTACAGCTTTTGATCAGTAAAGGTCAGATTTCTGTTACGGGGTATACTTTTGCACAATACTCATCCTCCTGCCAAGATTTTTCCTCGAATGCTGATCATGAGTACTTAATATGGATACGTCACCACTCTAGTTATATACATTTTGTGGTAACGGTAAAACACAATATCCTCTTGGTCGTGAAAAGAAAATCGACTTCGCTATGCTCCAACCTAAAGAATCTGTCCAGTATCTCTGCCAGTTTGTTTTTTTTTTTTTTTTTTTTTTTTAATTCCAAGAATTGTGGAAATAAGGCTCGAATCCCTGTTGGCTCTTCAATCATGATACATAGCTGGGGGCCTTTTCTGCGGATATTTCGCATTAAAGCTCCTTTAAATTATTAGACAGAACATCCTGGATTTATTGTCCTCAAGAAGAACCTGCATGCTGAACTTGGTGCCCACGGTATACATATGGAAAAGGAACCGATAAATTCGAGAATTCTGGTGCACACCAATCCACACGTGCATGTGTTGTTTGCCCTCCAAGCCATTGTTTTCGCCCCTGTTTCAGAAACCTTAGCACCTGGAATAGTAGCTGGAACACGATAACAGATTTAATGTGTACTTTTGCCCTATTTAGTGATAGCATATCGCACTTATAGATGTTGATAACCTAAATGATCGGCCCGAAATAAATGAAAGAATTTTACCTTAACAAAGGGGATGAATAACTCAAATATGTACCTCGCTGTGCGGATACGTGCTCAGTTCGAGTGGCACTCAGCGGAGGTCTACTGTATTCGCCTAATGTGCATAGCGGACGTAGAGTAAACAACTTATGCGGAAATTGAACCTGTAAGCGTGTTTAAAATAGAACATTAAAGTCAGGCACCCTTTGACAATCATCCCAAAAGACATTTTTTATATTAATGTTGGCCGACCACAATGCATGGTTGAAGTAAAACCTAGGACGCCAAGAGACGGACAAAGCAAAAATATTGCAACATAGAGTCAATATGACAGATACCTGTTTGCGTGTTGTGGAGATTTTATGAGGTTAAGAATAGGTTCATTTTGAGGAAGTTTTTTTGAGTGTATTGTGTATGGCTTGACTCAAAAATGTCGTAAAAAATACCTCGTTTTTACTTTTATTTGATGTGATCTGCGAAAACCTTTTTCATGTAGCATAACCAAAATTGAAAATAATGAAAAATTAGGTGTTAGGGTTTTTCTGCATAATTTGTCGTATTAGTGAATTTCATTTTTGATATTTCATACGAATTCCATTGGTTTATATTTTCAATCTTTCCTTATTTTTGTGCAAACTCAATAAAATGTTTGAGCTTGAAAGATTGATCGTGACAGCATTACTCCAGGTATAAACATCCTATATAATCGGGAATGAAACGGTTTTGACAACAGCCTGTTGTCTTCATTAATCGCACAAAAATGACAAATTTTTACTAAGTGAAGAGTTTTCCCAGATTACGTCGCATACCCGAGTTATTTATGTTTTGGAACAGTGTTTGCCTTCTTAGCCCGACTTGCAGGCTCGTGGCTGCAAAGAGGTTTTGTAACAGATATCATTTCGATCTATGATATTGAAAACATCGCAACATTATTATAAAAATGAAAAATGGATAAGAACTTACGACCAGTCAAGTTTGAACACTGCCATTTCGACCAAGAGAAAAATGAACAACTTGGTGTTTTTATTTCGGCAAATCACATGACTTCCATGCGCGTTATGCGCTATTTTCGCAAACGATGTCTGCTTTTAGGAGTTCTCCTTATCAAAGATTTCAACATTTTCACAATTTCTGCTGAAAAGGCATTCTGTATTTAGAGAGTGCTTGTTTACACTGTCGAGCTTCAATATTTCTTTTTCACGCGATTGGGCCTTGATGTCAAGTTTAATTGTGTCTAACTCGACTGAAGAGGCCACGAATAAACGTATTCCTATGTTGTTACTATAATGTGCATGTGTGCGTCCATTTCATACCAGTGTTAAATTGATTTCGAATTAAAAACATTAAGCCATGAAAGGTCAGTACAACCTTGTAAATCACCAGGGTCTATTTACTTGTATGTAAGCATGACTCTGTGTATGAGCCTCGATTATTGTCAAGTGTACAACTTGAATTCTTATCAGTTACTGTTAGCTCATATGAAACCCATTTGAAATGTAGGGTGGCTAATCCCCTCCAATTTTTTTTTATTTCTCAGTGAGCTCAGATTACATCATCATCTTAGACATTTTTGCATAAGGCCAAATAATTTAGAGAGATCGTAGTAATGCCCTCTCGGCGCCTTCCAGGGTTAGCCTTGAAATGGTTGATCTTACATTGTGTATATTCACGTTCACGACTCGTGTCTTAAAGATATCTGTCATCAAAATCAGCAGTCTTCCTGGTGGTGACGAGAAGAATTGGGCTGCGTCTACTAAGCATGAAATGTACGTGTCTGCGAATACCAAGGCGGGTATTACATGTCACAGATCACCGACGCACGTTCATTTGATGAGAAGCGTTTTAATGTCTGGTGCGGATTTGACACTGTAAGGATTTCTTTGGGACTGTATTAGTGCACTGTCGGCGTGTCTGAATTTCCGAAGTAAAGCTCTTTATCAGACCAAAAAAGTTAAAAGGGGGATAAATTCATTTTATGCGTAGTTTGTTCAATGGATAAACCTTTTTCATAGTAATTATAGAAACATCATGATCCTCCAAGAAACGTTAAGTTTTTATTCTACTTAGTTTTTAGAAGCCCTGAAGCCCATTACTAACCAAAAATACGCGGAATGCCCCAGCTGGGCACAGCTGTGAGTTCCCTCATTCCAGATTCCAGGCATTCCAGATTCCATGCTGTTTTTATGATTTTCTGCTGAAGAAACTCAGCGATACAGTGAGTTCTATCACTGTCCAATTGATCAATCGGAATAATTATCATCGTGCTTGATTACCTTGTACATGTACCCAACTACAGATTGGCTGGCAGTAGCAGGAAACTGACCCGCAAAGTAGCATTTTCAGCAAAGGATACATATTGATCCTTAAATATCCTGATAAGGACGGCAGATATTCGGATTTTGTCAGTCAAGGCTCCTAGTAAATCGTGCCTGTTCCTCTCTGTTTCCTACCTTCCAACATTCCTGCACAAATTTAGCTGATGATTCTAATCTGCTGTTAACGGTCTGTGCTTTGACTGTCATCATTCGCTTTTTGGGGTAGTAATTGTGTAGTCAAAGTAACATACATTGATTTTTGTCTTTTTCTGTCGTGCATTAATAGATTGCTCCGGTAACAAGAAAGAGGAGTTCTTTGAGATCTTACTGGACATATTTACTGAAGAGATGTCGATAGATGATTCCATTATAGATGGGTAAGTTCATCTTGCTAAATTATTTTCCCCAAGAGGACTTCCGAGTGTGCGTGGTTCTGTGGAAAGCGAAAAGCAAGTGTCATAGCAGTCCCGTCCTGAACTACCTACACGGACTACCGCACGTTTTTTTTTGGGGGGGGGGGGTTGGTGTATAAGCGAGGCATGTGATTGAGGACGAGACACACACTCACCTGTATACAGGTAATGCATAAACACATAACAATAAGTTGTGTTTATCGATCTTGGCATGAACCCAGGCTGAACATCCATCACCACATCGTGGCCTTAGTCTCCATTTCCATTTATAATGTCGTCTTGTTGCAGGCATACTATCCTTATCGGCAATCCTACATTATTTCTCATCTGAGTTATTTATGAACAGGTGTTAATATCAATTATCCTGGCACCAATCCAGACTGCACGGAGGATTATGTAGACATTCATATGGAATGGCAAGCATGTCTTGACGTGGAGAGTTGATGGCATGAGCAGAAAAGGCGGAGTTACGTACGTAGCTGAATGTAAACCCGGCCAGGTCTTGACATTTTCCTGTTGACAAGTCTACATTAGGGGCCTGTTACTGACAGGCCAGATTCACTATAACCGGCTTTAGTATACGCTGTACTTAGTCACACATTCCATAGGAGTTACCTTTGGCTCCTGACTGTGATTAATCGGCCCCATGGGCTGCCAGTCATTGTTTCGGGTAAATAACAGGGGAAGAAAGGAATAGGCCTATGCTCGCCAACATGCCACGAACTCGGAGGAGCAACACACGTTTACTGCGGATACATATCTGCTCTTTCTCGATCCATCGAGGCAACTGACTGCTACCAACATTAACATTTTCCCTGCACCCCTGCTTAAAATAAACAAATATAAACAAACAAACAATCATTGTGACTCTTCATGCCTCCACGTTTCCTTTTGCTTCTACCGAGTACAAAACTTGCTTCAAAGATGGATGCACCGTAGTTTTTGAGAAGCTTGACTGGCCCTGTTTGTTTCGGAGGCTTTCATTTCTCCAATCAGAGCAAGACCCTGCTTGAACTTGGCGTTTGGTGGAACTTAGCAATCAGCTAAGAAAGAGGCCGCGAAGTGGTTGTTTTATGTCTATTTTCAAAAGTTAAGTGCTTCTTCGTTGATGCAAGTGGCGTACCCACTTTTTGATAGTCTCCATTCTCCAGTTGCAATCTCCATTCTTGATTTGTCCTTGAAAACATGGCCGAATTCAAGACCAGACATGCATGCAATGGGAGTGCATGGTACTGTCCGGTTTATCAGGAGTGTATTCACTAGCGCCTCGACGGTAATGAAGTTCAATAGTTTCGAATCGAATGCTTGTGCAAAAACATTATCCCAGTCATCGGACCACGTGGCGGTGAGAGATGTACTAAAAAAATCTGAATTAATCCCAACAACGAGTTAAGAGAAGTGTATCATCTACTGGTCCAAGCGCGTGCAAATTGTCAAAAATGTTCATCTTGTACCTTTTGCCACTTTTATAAGCCCATTAAATGATCCTGAATTTGATATATGCCCAGGATGATACGGCATTCTCTTCCACTGATGAAAATGAACGTGAAGTAAAAGCATCAGTTGTCAGCCGTCAACTCACTGGGGTACCGATAACATGCCGAAACTACCAGCCTCTAGGTATTGGTTCTGGTGTAGTTGAGGTATTTCCCAGACCATTCGGGGCTTCAGTATATATTTCAACTCTTGAAGTTACCAGGAGACGCATCAGTGCTAATATTGAAGCTGTTGATTGAACATTGGTATATTTAAGTGATTAAGTAAACATCCAACTTTGGAACTATGTGTCGTTTTTATCAATGTGACGGCTTTAAGATCTGATGAAGTGTTTTGTGTTAGTTAACCTCATTGTCATGTATGTAGTATTTGAAGAAATTGACGTCGAAGCATTAAGACCTCTATTTGCACTCTCGGCCTGTGACGAAGCACTCCAGTGTTTACTTTAAGTGAATGGGATAAGTGGCTGTCGCAAGTGGTCCGTTCACGTCAAAGTACACCGTAACGGAAAACACAAAAGTATGTAGCAAAAGTAAATATGGGTTAAAATAAAAGCCCCAAATTTTTCATGTAGGTAAATAGGTCCTTTGAAAGATAATCCAACTTAGATGGTTTTCAGATACTAAGATATTAGCCGCCTCTTATTATACACTTTTGTTTTGAATCAGCTACGATTATAGGCCCAATTTTGTGGTGTGTATACTTTGAGGCAAATTCTTCTTTCGTTTATTTATATTCCAGCAGTAACTGATAGTCATTCAGATCATTTTGCACCTGCCATATTCAATGTTGCGTTCATTTCTGTTAAATGCTGAGTCCTACCGGTTACTCTCTCTGCGCACAGCGCCTCACCTGAACGAGTGGCACGCTGGAAGTTCCAACAGCTAGACGAGAGCGGAAACAACCTGCTCGAGCGGAGGGAGTACCTGGAGTTCAAGGAAGAGCTCAAGAAAATCAACGCCGCCTCCAAGAAGTGTCGGCGGAACTTCATCGAGTACTGCGACGAAGATGGCAACAAGGACCTGTCTATGGGAGAGTGGCTCACTTGTCTGGAAGTTAGAACAGGTAGGTATCTGAGATCAAGATGACAACCTACGTCAGTCTAGTTCAGACATCATTTCTGAAAGTTCTCAACACCGGCATATGAAAACTTGAAGATCAAAAGTTGTATATTTGAAGGGGAAAACTGCTCAAATTTTCAATACCTGTGCCTAGTCAAATATGACCGAGTCATACCCCTTTGATCTTTTGAAGCAAGGCAGGACCTCGATTTAGACACCGAACTCTATAAACAATGAGTATAAGGATCTCTTTTCCACTTTCTTCTGTAGGGAGCTTTCTCCCAACCTATCTTTCTTCTGTACATGTAATGTAATTTTACATAAATGGCGTGTGCTGCTTCCATCTTAGCCCATTAATACATGCCTCATTGTAGCGACCAACTTGAGCAATACATTAGAACCATTCATATCTCTTGACGAATAACCCAACATCTTCCACCACAGGCTTATACTAAAATAGATTAAGATGAAATAGATTTTTATGATGAAGAAAAATCAAAGTGTTTTTCTACTGTGCGGGAGGCTAATCCCACAGTTCCCCTCTTTCAGTTGCGAAGGTAAAAATCATTTTTTGATTGTTTGTTCTTGTTGTGATCAAACATTCCAACAATTTAAGTGACTTTGAGTGAGAGTAAATTGTATGGAAAGTGTGCTAGATGATGGGGAGTGGTAGTTAAATGTTGTGCTGACTGAACGGCCTTTTCAAAAATATTAAAGAGTACTGACTGGAGCAGATTCGTGTTTCCCATAAATTGGTCATCTAACGTAGTTCTAAAATCCATATCTTCCCACAATTTAATTTCGTGAAATTACAGAGTTGCCTCTTAGGAAGACGGAGAAGTTGTCATTGAACACAAATTTTGCTGTATCGAATCTGATGAAAGCAGCAACTAAAGAGCTGTGGTCTCTTTGCTAGATATTTCACCAGCAGGACTTCCTAATTGCTGAGCATTATTAACACCCAGTCTTGCTTTTCCCTGCATGTTCATATCCCCGGCTAACACCCCCAACTGCTGTACTCTCTTTCTCTTTCAGGGAACCCTTCACAACTTCCATCTGGCCCCAACCCTTTCAGTAAGTATCTTTGTATCCACCCTTTGCATCCCTGGTCGAGTTCGGGCGGCCTGTTCTTGACACGTGTTTCTTGTTCTCGAGCTCGAACGGCGGGAACACGACTCAAGAATTAGCACTGTTCTAGGAACAGGATCACACACCATCTCCTCGTCAGGGTTTTACAGGAACACACGGAAAAACTCGTGAGATTTTAATTTTTGAACAGCTGCGAAAAGTAGAGAGATGGCTTCCAAAGCCATAGACCATGTTGACAATTGGAAGTTTTTGCAAAATTAACATTAATTTATTAATTTCCGTAACACAGAAATGAATGTTCCTGTTTATATGAAAAGAATTCAGCCCATCCAAACCTTAACTCTCGAATAACGTACATGGACGCCGCCGTGTTGCATGTTGCTTGTGATAACCGGTTGTTTGTTCCCGGCGATCGAGCGGCCGACCCACGAACAACAAATCGAGCTGTTCGTGAAGATACGGGAACAAGGCGCCCGAACTCAGCCCCTTATCACAGTCAGTAATCGAGCAGCATGTTCCTCTTTCACTCAAAAACATTTTCCTTGTTAAGTCTCTGTGCTCATAAACTCTGTATCCATTCTATTTATAAGGAACTTTATCCAGAGACCTTGAAGGGTAGATGCAATGGAATATAGCCTAAAAGACAATTTCAATACGGGTGATTCACAGTCGCGCGCCTCCAAGAGTTTGCAACGCGTTGGCCAATCACAACGCGCGACAGATTTCGAGCATTGTGATTGGCCAACGTGTTGCAAACTCTTGGATGCGTGCTATTGTGAAATGCCTGTATTGTTATTTCGCTACTTTTAAAAGGTGTTTTGCGACAGTTTATGCTGATAGAATTTCTATATTTATAAGCAAACCCATGCTGTCATCACAGGAAGCAAACCTCAAAGTTACATTGGTTTGTGCATTAAAAGACTGGATTTTTTTTATTTTGTGGCCTAAATATTCATTTTGTTGGTGATTCATTGTTGTGTTAAGAAATAGCAATGAGAAATCAATTGACATTTTTTTCTGAATGTTTTCAGTGAGTAAATTCTGGGTTCACAATTTGAACAGAAAAACCTATGCACTAAAACCATGTCTTCCCCAGATGGCATTACAGCAGCGCCCTCGGAAGTATGGATAGCTTGAAAAAGCGCTCTTTTCAATGCATTTAAACTAATAGAGATGCCTGTTAATTTTCGTACTTTGACGAAGAGTATAAAATTGAAGAAAAAATATTTCTAAGAAAACTTTATTGCAATCACACTTTAAAGAAACGGAGTCGGAAGCCGTCCCAATGTAGGCTAGAGAGCCTGCATCGTACTGTGTCATGATCGCTCTCGAGAATAGGGAGAACAATTGCACGATTTACGACAACGGACGTGTAATATAGGAACGTGAAAGATTTCATCCATGACCGATGCCCTTTTATGCACCTTTACACCAATCCGAACCATTGCACAGTTTATTGTGCAGAGAAGGCGTGTCGATGTCTCCGTTTGAACCATTTTTTTCCAATTTTCTTTGTGGACACACCCACTTGTAAAGCACCAAATCTAGGTCTTTGACACTTGTAGGTTACGATTACTGTGTTGAGTTTACCACGTATGTGTGAACCAGTAATTGTGATAAATGTGTTAACACAAGTGACGTGACCCAGATTTTAATAGACCAGTATCATTGGTATGTGGAATTACACATCTACGGTAAACAAGCTCATAGCATCTGCGTGTAACTAACCCATTCTGGCACTCAACTCACCGACATACCATGGTCGGCGCTTCACTCTAATCATGAGTTGTGGATTTTATATTCCAATGGATATATCGATATATATAATCAGTCTAAAGCAGGGTAACATATTATTTTTCATTTCAAAAGTGGCTGAGTGGGGAATCGTGATTCTGGAACAGGAAGGGTTAATGCACCTTTCATTTCAATGTGTCAGGTCATTATGAGCGACGCGCCAGTGAAGTTTGTGGAACTGATATTTAATTTAAGTTTTATAAAAGTTTGTATACTTTCTTACTCATGGAATGGACAACTTATAGAAGTTTCAGGGTATACGAAGTTGTTGTTGTCTTCGGGAAAATGATAATTTTTGCAATTCCACAAAGGTTTTTTCTTATTTTGCGCAATAATATCAACGTTTAAGGGAATTACGTTCAGAGCAATTGCATTTGTGCAGAGGCATGTAGCTGTGGGAGTGTTTTTATTGAATACTTAATTGATGAAAAAGCTGAAGCTGTCAACTTTGATACCACTCTGCCAAATATTCTAATCTGACACAACAACCAAAAACCTTACGAGCCTTAATCTGAATTTTGCTGATTTTTTTTTTCAGTTGACCGATTAATGTGATCAACGCAGGGAAGATTTCCTCGTGCATGAGTTTCTCTTCAGAGTAAGGACTCTAGACATAACGTTTAGTCTGTAAAGAAATGTGTTACCAGAGACCCTCCCTGCTTGTTGCGAAGTTACTAAACGCGACTTCAAGGTGTCGTCAAGCCTATTAGGGTCGTTTTGTCCGGACAGTGGTGTTCAGATTGACCGACCTAAGCACACTTGAAATGGAAGAATGTGGATTGTGGATCTGGGAAAGTCGCGGGATTGTGTTACTAGGGTCAACTGGGGAGAAGTGCCTGATGAAACGTTGGAGTGGTGAAGTTAAATAAAACGGCTTACTAGAGTTGAGCGTTGCACAGGGAGTCACGGGTCGTTTGCAGCTGTTACCAGTGGAGACTTGAGGACAAAACATTCTAAATGGGGATCACCCACTACCTCCCCACTCTGGAGCACGGTGGACTGCAGTGGGGGAAATCTTCTCATTTGGGACATCTTGATTTGCCCTCCGAAACTCCGCAAAGATGTGCAGCAGTAAACTAGTCGTCCAAAATTGCGGAATATGTTGTCAATTCACGGAACTGAGGATGCAATATGATTTTGCTTATCTTCGAAAGCTTGGTTTTACTAGAATGCCAGGTTGTTTGTGAGGAGCGCTGCACTGCTCGGGGCTGGATTATTGCAGCTGTGGAGTGCAAGCTCAGCTACTTGATGCTGGGATCAGTTGAATGAGCAAGCGGGGAATGTGCAGACAAACACTTGTCACTGAGCTCCAATCCCAAGTATGTTTTAAAGGGATTCTTTATTTATGTTGCTGCTGGTATGACTTACTACACCTGTGCCGTTCGGTCTGATAGGATCGACTCTTGCGTTTTGCAAGGATTTAATTTGCCTGCTATGTAAACCAAGTTTTTACCTGGTGAAATTGATATTCAAATTGGTGTTAACAGTGAAGCCAGTTGTGAAAAGGCATTCATCGGTAAAATAATGTGTATATATTAGATGGCTGTGTTGCTAAACTGTTGCATTTCAGCATCAATAAAGGCTATAGCTTAATGTGTGCCTGTCACAATCGTATTGTAGTAAGATTGATCAGGATGCCTGATAATTCAATCAAAGTGCTGAGGAGCAAAATCTTTTAAGTGTACTTTGACTTTCATAGTTAGATACATCAAGCGCAGCAAGGAGGCCGTGGTAGGTAAAAGGCGATTTCCATGGTCTGACTTGTATTCATGTTTTGAAGAAAAAACGTCACAATTTAAAGCGTTGTCAAATGTAGCCGTTTGTCGGATGTGCTGGTTGAAAGATTCTTTATCAGAAAGGCATACCTTGAAGCATTCCCACAGATGTGATCGCCTTTTTATGAAAGAGTGAAGTGCGCTGCAAGTATCATTTTCACCCACATGCTTTTCACCTGAATGGATGTGATCAATCAAACAATTGCTGCCCATGTTTGACCCTACCACAAAGTCTTAAGAATTGGTGGCATTTGAAAGTAAACTACATGTGTATCTGATACGGTAACTCTTATTTCGCTGGTCTTTTCTAGAGCTGTGTCGTTTCAAGTCCTATCTGAAAGATTACATATCTTTGTATATATCCTTTAAATGCTGAGAGGTATAAATTGATGTAAGTGATTAAAACCAGTTTTGTAATTTACCTTGTAATGTATTTAATAGGAGAATTTGAATTTAAATGCATGTGATTGTAAAAAAAAAGCTCAAAGAGTTGCCATATTAAACAAAGGCAGCGAAGGCCTGTAAGCGTAGCGTAGTGGTACAAATTCTGCATTCAAGTATTTATATGTTAAATTAACGAAACTCTGTGTCCATTGACATCAGATCTTTTATACTTGATGACCTATTTTATTTGGAGAAAAAGCTGCATTTTCACAGAGGGAGGGCCTCAGCAGGATGTTTGCCAAATTAATTATCAACTGAATGCTACAGTCGCATATCTTTTTCGGAATAAAGCACAAAATCCCTCCAAAACGAAACTTAAATTTCACATTGCTTTGTTTTGTCAAACAAGTATTCCGCCATCGCACGAAGCTTGGAAAGTTTTTCTTAAATTTTGAGAAACTCTACAAAATAAAAGTCCTACTTAAAGGCAAATTGAAGAGATTTGCAATCCTTGTAAACATTTTATACAACTTGCTTTTTGAATATCATTTTTATATTTGTAGAATATTAGTAATGATTTTTAAAAGGAGATTATGATAGTTTGCTCTGCTTGTAAAAAATGTAAGTATCAATGAAAGAATTACATTAAATTAAATTACATACGGTGTGTGTAGGGATGCGTTAAGGGGTATGATCGATTTACAGGGCCTAATTGTAAAGCTCTTCTAAGCACGCAAGCGTTGAGAGTATATCGACGTTTTTTTCACAAGCTCAGTATCCCACGTGGTCAGCCATTTGTTTCCAAGAAAGTGCTACAGAGTAGATGTAACTGCTGATTGTTTATATTTTCCACATGACAACCGTATTTTGCCGTCTGTCCAATAAGCTTGTTCCGGGTCTTACAACCTAGCCTGTTATTTGGATTTATACTGTTTTTAAAATCCCATGATCAGTGACAGGAAGCGCATTAAATCTATGCTTTCTTAGTGGCTCACATAATTCGGAGAAAATATCGTCACAGGTTTATTAATCTGTGATGAAAATACACTGTTACCAGTTTTTTAACATCCAGTGATTAAGGAGGTCGTGGTGGTCGTGGCCTTACGAATTGGCCTATCCTGAAAACCAATCCTTAGAGTTTCTTCACGAGGGTCTTCCTCAGGCCTACTGATCGCTGGGAGACAAAAGCCCCGGCCGGAAACGAGGTTGAAGTCCAGGAAATGGCGAGTTTGTGGAGTTAAGTTTGCGGAACAAATTCCATTTAGATGCAGAGATCAGTTGTGTTTCATTCCATGTTTCATTTCTTAAACTTTGACTACATGTACTTTAATTGTCAGACAAACTAGCAAGACACTAGTACATCCGCCCTTTCCGTTGCGTTGAGGAAATCCATTGAAATTAATATTGATTAAGCTTTCCTTTTCAGGATGTTGCTCAAGCGCCGTTTAAAACAATAAAAATAGCCATGAGGTAAAAATTGTCAATTTAGGTTTGTGCAACTAATGTCACTCTGTGACGTGAATTATAGTATTCAAGTTGTTAAAAGATGGGCTTTCAGAAATACAGCATCCTTTGCGGTTTGGTTGAATGACTGGAGTTGAGAACCTTTACACGGGGACCCTCAAAGCTTGTCATGTTGGCAAGGAATAACTTGTTTTTGCCCAGGTGTCTATAACGACAAGAGTTCACCTGTGAAAGAGGCAAATTTCTTGTGCCTTTTCCGAGAGGTTTTGAGTGACAAAAGCCCTCGAACACTTGCCACGATGTGATTCGGCCACGAACCTGCTGCTTACTAGCGAAAACGTCACACCACTCACCCCGAGCTCGTCAGGTCGGAAATTGTTGATTCGAATCGATATAAGAAAGTGTGCATCGCGGGTGGAACTGTGGGTGCGACATTGTTAGCATCTTGTTAGTACGGCAAGACAGAAGCTTGTTTGTCATCGTGACTAGAACCCACACACCGGCTGCATCCGGTACGTACGACAAACTTGTAGCACTGTAAAGGTCAACGAATATCTTGTCAATGTCTTGACCAGCAGAACTTGATTTCTACTAGCAATAGCAGTTCCTGTCACTGGTACTAAAATCAACGCCTCGAATGTTTTCGGTGAACAAATAAATACTACTTTTTTTGGAAAAGCTATAGCTTCATGAGCAAGACTAAATTCTTGATGAAAGACGCTCCAAGCCTTATACATGTAGCTTCGGTCGCTCGCTTACCCATTCTTGTCCACAAGATTTACTTTCAAAATAACGCTGCATTTCTTCTAAGGCAGTGTGTTTCCCTGTTGGAATTGTACTTGCATGAAACTCTGCTGGCCTCTTTATACGTGACACACTTCGAGTGAGAGAGTAAAATCATCAGGGAGGTGCATATTTTATACTTTCTTCCCACAAACGAACAGCTCCTTTATCGCTCTGCACAAAATTTAGGTGGGGCCCGGAAATAAAAACAATTTACGGTCGCGAATTTTAAAAACAAAGTATTCTCGGATGAAGTCAGGCAGTGTGATCAGACGAAAGTATTCGAGGGGAGATGTCGATTATTCATCGTAATGGGTTGAGGGGAACAAACAGTCCCGAAGCTGTGTGGTTTCTGCAGACAGAAACTTGGGGAAATCGACCTCCTCCTGAGTAACATCCCATCGGGGGAACCCAGTGACCCCCGGTTTCCTTTTGGACAAGAAGCCATATGCAACGAATTCGGCATAGAAGAAAAATGCCCCCTTTGCCGCTGAAAACTTGAAACATGCAGTCAACGCATGGTGCGATTTGTTGGACTGTTGCCTGAATAACACGCAGTTGACTTTGGCGGCTGAACTATGTAGCTATGGGCTGCAGCCGATATAGCCTGTCTTCGCTTACGCCTATTCTTTGATGCATCCAGAAGATGTTTTGCATATATAATGCCTGCTTCCACTATTCATTTTCACTGCTCCTTCTTTTTAGCGTGTCAACCGACTCTCAACAAAGTGTTTTTATGGTCTGTAGGCGATTTGAATGTTAATTGATTCAAGTAGCAGTAACTTCCTCATGAAGCCTCGCATGTATTTTACCACTATGTACACCCGTATAATTATTTCCCACTTCCGGAATTCTATATTACATTGAATAAAACATGAATGGACGGCGCAGTGTGTGTGTTGACACAGCCGAAAAATCACAGAACCAGTTCTGGCGCCGTATTGCCTACAGGCGAGTTAACAGGCCTTGTAACGTGTGTGGGGGAAGTGGTGCTTTCGGATTGTGATATGATTATTGCGGTGACATGAACGTATTAATAAAATGTGAAAAGCTTTGTTTGTGTAATGGTTTGGTTCATTTCAACTGTAACCTTGGTTGTTTGGTTGTTCATCGGGGGATGATTTTGAACAAACTACAATTAACCACACTGTGCGAAACTTGTCTCGCATTTTCGTCGAAGTAACCCAAACCAACCAATCATTGAGGGATAATTTCATACTTTTATCCGCAAGTTCGTATCTAGACTCAAATTTTCGCAGTCGAAAAGTGTTGTGGGCCAAAGATTCCGACAGTTATATTCGTAGCTGATGTTTATGGCCTTTGTGAGGCGTGGGGCTGAATTTGTGAGCGGTTTTTTTTTTCAAAGGTCGGGAAATGAAATATTCCAAGAAACCCGCCTTTCTCTTATAATTTCGGCAATAAAAATAGCTCCTTCAAGCGGAGGGAGGTGGCCCCGATCACCCCCCCCCCATCCGCCAATGGTTACCCGTCAGAACAAATTGAGTGATATTGCTTAACGGTTTTAGCCAACGTCTTCGCATTGTTAACTCGACCTGCAATATATGAAGAATCCCCCGACTAATAACGCCTTCGTAAATCCAACTGAATGATTGCTTTTGACAGGGGGGGGGTTATGACAGGTGAAACTTTCTAACATGAGCGGTCCCACCAATAGATCATGAAATTTCATCCCCGTCCCATTCGGATGCAGTTAACTGGGAGGGAGAGGGGATATACCGAGACACGTCCTTCTACCTCTTTGCTCAGGGGGGCCAGACCACTCAGCCTACATCCTTCCCGGGTAATTCTGCAGGCTCCAGCTTTCTTCCCTCCAAAATGACTAGATGCAATTCAATCATTCCTCGGCTGGGCCCTGTGTGCCGCCGACCAGCGCGTCCTTGCTTCGCACTGCCCCCCGTGCTTCGCGCTGGCGACCGCCACGTGGGCTGGCTGAAAACTGGGTCAGAGATAGGAGTCATTGTGATGCATTCTGCAGAACACTTCTGAGATGAAGCCCTTGTTCCTGAATTAATCATCGGGTTCTCATACAAATAGTGCGAGCTACCTTTTAAAAGGTAATTTGGCAGAGATAAGAAGCCTTCTGCATGCCTCGAAATATATACTTCTGTATTTTTGGGGGGAGGGGGACTTTTTGACTGGGCTTATTTGCGATAAGACATTCGTGAATTAAAGAGGACGCACAACACACGGAAGGTCTTACTTAGCATCAACAAATATTGCACTCCTTACTTACTATTGCTAAAGTTTTTCAACATGTGATTTGTGATGATGACATTGACAAGACTCACATTACATTCGATATCTTTAATGGCGAAAAAACGGGTTCCTGTACAAACCCATTTTTCACATGGCAAACGGATCGTGAGGTTTCAGTATCTAGGGGATTGTACGCCAAAACAGCCCTTGCAATAGGCCTATGTACAGTGTCCTGAGAAACGGAGTACGAGTCTTTACCACATTACAACGCAGACAAGAAAATATGAGCAAAATCCTGTATCCGAGATGATTAATTTGCTCATTTTAGTACTTTAACAACGTTCCGAAAAGCCCGAAATCAAGCTCTGGAGAGTGACTGAAGAACCAATCGATTATTGCAAAACTAAAACGCATTCGCGCAAGTTTAAGTAGCTCTGGGAGAAGTTTGAAAGAAATAAATGTACGTGACTCCACAAAGTGGTCTGAAGGAATATTGATACCGGTCGATTCCCCTAGTTTCTGGGGCCGGGCAGACACTGAGCCTGAGCCGCACTAATTCACTGAGACGAATTCACTAATTCACTGGCGCACGTGGCCGCACTATCTGTACAACCAGCACTTAATGAAAACAAATCACATTTCCGGGTAACCACGTGGCGGGACACCTTTGGGACATATCTTCTGAATCAATCATCGGACAGATCTATCATCGACTCAAGTTGAAGGAGTCAAAAAATAAAACCCGGCCCAGCGCACTGTTTCGAAGGTGATGTTCCTCAGTTTCCGCTCGGATCAAACTGCAAAACACGGACCTTTTTTCCGAGGGATTCAACCCGTTAGAACCCTATTTTAGGTCAAGATGGTCCATGGTCCATGCATGCTATGTGTCACCTTTATCATCATGCATCCCCATAATTCTCGTCCTTGGCAAGCGACAGCGAGTAAAATCTGGCCCATACGACCTCTGTCTCTGCGTAGCACAGAATGATTCATTTCCCAGGAGGTGCATGGCGCATTTCATACTTTCCAGTACACAGTAGGGCCTGTATGTCCCATTATTTCATACCAGCAGCTCATACGGAGCGAAGTAACAGGAGGCAAGCACCGCCGTCCTTCCGCAGATTTGGCATCAAGTGTGGTCGTCGTCGCCTTCTTCTTCTTCTCTTTTTAAAGATGGCTCGAAACCTTTTAATGCATCAAAGGCGTGAATCCATGCCGATGAGTCGGGATGGGGGTGAGGAAAATCCAAACATTTATATGATCTATGTGTGGGGTGGCGGCGCCACTATAGGGAATAAGGCAGCGTGGTTCGTGTTTGAAAATTTACATCTGCGAGCTTACGGCCCTTTACTATGCATCTAAACGGTGTATTTCATTCCGTTTTGGGGGGAGGGAGGCAACTGGTGCATCCAGGATATGCAGTGGGGAGGAGGGCTCGGACCGCAGTTTGCTCCCCAAATAGTTCACGATGCTCAAGCCCCTTTCCCGGTTGCGCCAGTGGGGACTGAGACGTAGGGTATATCAGGGGTAGTAATTTAAAATGTGGGTGCGTATTATATCTTCGTAATTTAGAAAGCCAAAAAAACATGAAAACCTCGGGGACACACAGAAGACTCGACCCCTTTTGGTGCACTGGTTGGGTGACCAAACGGTTAATTCTTCTGCCCCCCCCGGACTTACTCGTGGGTATGTAATTTCCGATCTTGGGCCACAGTAAACTTCTGTGGATGTACATGTTTATAATATGCGCCAACCTTCAATACCTAGACTGGACCCGTGGAAAAAAAGAAGTCAGCAAATGTAGGTTGTGGGAACACTGTGTGGTCTAAGCCCGGTCCACGTAAGGTTTCCCACATCGCATACGTACGTGGTAGTTTCTCAAACAGCAAGCTTCTGTATGATTGAAATATCTACTGTCGTCAAAGAAATATTAGCAAAAGATATTTCTGATGTCCCGTCACGATCATCGTCATTATCGAAAAGAAGACCCTCTTCGAAATACTGTGTGGGTGGTGGCTGTCCGATCGAATCACAGCTGGTAAATATCAACCACTAACATCCTGAAAAGCTCTAACATAAAAGGAGCAGGTATTCCTATAGTGCATGTAGTGAGAGTTATGCCTGCTTCATCAAGCAGCTGCCATCTAGACTCGAACTCCCCTTATCGAGGTCCATTTCTATCAATGAGCCCTTGAGTTTTCCGGGGTCAGAAGCGACAGACAGCTAGCATATTTATACTCAATAAACAAAATTTGGGATCAGTGTTTGATCCTTGCAGATGCTGAAATTTGACTTAGACTTATTAGAGTACCTTTATGAACCACATCAGTTAACTACAGTCATCCGGATGCAAACGCACCGACTAAGTATAGTGTAAGTCGACAACCAGAATTAGAAGCCATTGCTGCGGTGGCGCAAAACTCATGGCCCGGTGGTACGCGCGCGTTGCTTGCTTCCTTGACCTAAAGGGTGTCGTGATTTGTCAAAATGCACGCGTGCGTCAAGCTGAAGAATTCGCGTGTGAGTGCGGTGCCACTGCAGTTCTGGCGTACCCTCGGACCAGTAAGCTAGCGCGATGCCACAAGAGGAAAACTTGGAATCTCGAGATGAGCATCAAGAAGTATAAGCCGGAGTGATTTTACTCTCACTGTGCTGCTTTGGAAACATATGAGGACCCAAGGCATGCCCCCTTCCCCATGCTTCTAGTAAATTATTGTACCCCACTGGGTATGAGATTGGTTCGGTTTTCTTTTGAGGTCTGTGCCGTGTTCGGCCCTTTTAATTCGCACAAACACATGCAAGTGAGCCCAGACTTCTTAAATATTAAAAGAGGATTTAATTTTTAAAGAATCCACGCAGTGAATTTTCTAATACTCACTTTTGTTCATCTTTATACACTTATTGAATGTATGAAACTGTTTAAAAGCAGTTTGGGGTTACACGTCTACTGAAAAGTGCACTATTTTAAACATTAATAATTTTTCCGAATTTTTCCGGACATGTGAGGGCGCTGTTGCTGTGACGTAAATCACAGAAGACTGTGATGTAAATCACAGAAGAATGTTTTGATGTTCAAATTCTGAACCCACATTTACTCTTCGAGAATATTTCTGAGAAAAGTTTGTTCGCCGGCCCATTTACTATATGCTTTCATAACATCGTCAAAGGAATGGAAATTTACAATAGCAGAATATATAAAAGAAAAAAATTCCAGCAGTTTTTTTATTTGAATATGAAAATGAGCAATATCAAACAAATCAAAAAGCTCCAAAAAATAGAAATATTTAAACAAAATAATCTTTAAACAAGTAACACAACAATTGACAATTGAGATAATTTAAAACGGGAGCAATTTCAACACTGCGAAAACTGGTGTGTTAAATTTAACACCCCCGGTCTTATCAAAGGACTACAAAAACAATTTTCACTGGTGTTGAAAATTTTGGTGTTATTTGGTGTTACTGTTAACACCCTCCAGTGCATTGTAACACTTATAGGTGTGAAAAGTAACACCAGCGGTGTTAAACTAACACCATCTGATAACACCAAAAAGTGTTGATTTTAACACCAGAGTTTTTGCAGTGAATGGTTGCAGTGAAATTATTGTGTTAAGATCCCTTTAAAGAACATTTCAAACTTCTTTAGAAGAAGAAAATCGGTTGATTCGCGCGGTAATCTCCTCTTTGACAATCTCCGCTTTGAACTGCGCCACCGTTGAATGGTGTCCCCCCCACACACACACACTATTACATACCTGTTTTACATACAAAGTGTGGACAAGGTTAAGGAAACTTGAGGAAAATGCTCTTTTTTCTCCAATTAGGATAACTCCTTTGA